ATATATATAAAAATAATAATAATAAATCCTAAGCTACAGAAATAAGACTTACAATGATTGTCCTGCAGTAAGTGAAGTCTGAAACGCTCAGGAGATACGGTAAATTCTACCTCCCAAAATCAGCCATGGCAGCTTCACAATTAAGCCAGCTGAACTCAGCTTCTCTGTGCTCACGGGACACTTAAAAGTCAGATATGCCCTTACCTGCAATGGTAATCTATAAAATCCATAAAATCTCTAAATGGATTTTGGATTATTAAAAGATAAATCTATCTTGCGTCAAATCAACACATTCTTGAAAAGATGAAAAAAAAAAAAAAAAAAGGACAAGTTATCTGTATGAAGCCAGCTTGGAGTTATAATATCCACAACACCTATACTCACTCAACAAATACCATTCTTAAAATACATTTCCTAAATGTTCTGTGGAAACATTAAAGGTTTCACAGTATTCCAGAACAACAGGTTCATCATTTCACAACCCACAGTTTTATTAGAGAACATTGCTATTTCTTTTGCTGGTCAAAAAGCTTCACTCAGTTTGGCGTTAAAAACAAATGCAACTGGAATCCCCTGTCACACCATTAGTAACGAAGATGCCCATTATGCATCAGAACATTACACAACAGAAAACGCTACAGACATGCATAACTTTACGCAAGATGTACAAATTCCACGCAAATTACTACTGATAAACCTTTGAAGTTAGAGACATCTGCTCACTATGTCCATCCAAAATGCATAAGGTTGCTAGAGTCTATTCAGAAAATGACAGAGGTAATAAATGCAAACAGAGTAATTTGTAATTTGCTATTTCCACTTCAGATCTCATTCCTGCAGAGAGTCACAGCATGAGTAACTTTAATTGCATAGATAGTGGCATAGAAAGGGAAGGGAAGAAAGGGTTGAATGTGTTCAACTAGTAGCATTCAAGGCCCTGAGCTGGCTTATACTGAGAAATTTTACTGAAAGTTAAATTAGTGAATAAAATCAAAGCAATGTGTTAGTGAATGTGGGCTCGTAGATACACCTCAAAATGAAAAATGGTCTTCAAAAGCTAATTCTAACAATGTTTGTATTTTTAACTGACTAATTTTTTACCCCCTCAAAGTCCATTATGTGCTATTGAGAGGGAAAATAAATAAATCACAAAATAGTGAAGGTTTCTTCTTCCCACATCCCCATGATCCTTCCAAGAAAGCTGTGAGTAAGCTCACATAGGAACAAGCAAAATGATACAGAATCACTAAAGTACCAAATGCTACAAAAGACACCATGTCTAATCTTCCTCTTTCAGTGAATTGAGAGATCTGTTTAGTAAACACCTGTGCAAATCCAAGTAGTCTCACTGACTGAGATTAAACTTTACTGTATACGTAGGTTTGTGTACGTGCATAACAGCGGGAAATCCAGCAGCCCCCCATGACCATAGTAACAGCTGAAATTCCCACCAAAAATAAAATTCAAATGACAACTATCATATAACTTGATACCCAAGACAGGAAACTGAAATTTCTAGGTGTCAGGGTTAAATCAAGGTATGTACGAAACTACGAGAAAATCATGTGTTGGATGCATAAATAAACAGATGAAGCAGAGTCTGATTCTGGAGTTGAGATAAAATGGCAGCTGTGACAATCCTTAGTGGAAACAGGAACTCTAGTTTCTGCAAATGCAGAGCATTTAATACTGGAAAAACTAGAGAACTAGCTCTGAAATCAACATATTTGCCTCTTATTCATTTTTTTTTCTCCCACTCTGAATATTCAGAGTATTTCTGAATATTCAGATTATTTCTGAATATTCAGATATACAGGTATCTGTATCTGTACTGGTAGTTTAGTTACCAGCAGTACTTTAGTGACTTACAGTTTTAGCAGGTGCTCAGTAAGTATTGAGTATTGCCCTAGCTTCAGCAAAAACCATATTTCAGACATCAGACTGCTCTCTGTACCACAAAATAAATACAGAGGCTTCAAAATCAGTTCAAAGCCACCCAGTCACAGTGTGTTGATTAGCCTTCTTGGGACCGCTGCTCAGGACTAGAATAATGAAAATCCTGAATGCCTATAGACAAAGGAGACACAGAACCAGACGCTGTTAAACGAAAAAGCAAGAAGAAATCTTGATTTAAAAGGATATATGAGAACCAATTCTATCCATATGTGGAAAACACACACTCAAGCAAAGCACCTTTCCAATTCTCTTTGAATGGAGGTTAACAGGATTGGGCTGTGCACACTGTACCATAAGGTATACAGCTCTGAGATGTTGAATGACTTTTCTTTCTGGCTACCAGCCATGCAGCAAAGAAAGAAGAGGTTCTACTGTGCTCCAGATTTTGGAGGGTTCAAAGACCAAAAGCTTCCATTTTTCCATCTGGCATGGTTGAAAACTGCTTCTTTAAGGAAATCTCCCACCTTCGACCAGTCATTCGCTGTTCTAGAAGACAGGCTGACACAGCAATTAGGAGTATGAGAGAGGTGCTAGACACTGAAATCAAAGTTAACAAGAACTTTCTTAGTGCAGCCTTTATTGTGAGGACTCCGAGTCTTCTGTTATGCCACTACCATAGTTGAAGAGAAAAGTTCATATATACTCAATCTATTTTGACCCTCAGGGCACCAATTATTTAACTTCAGATGTTTAGGTTTTAATAAGCTTTCATGCACAGGGGGAATAAATACAGCAGTTAACATGAGTGATTTGCCATTTACAGCTAGAATATGACCAGAAAGAAAATCAATCATATTTCATGAATTTAGTTGTCACCAGGTGGAAAGCTTTTGCATTTTTTTAAGTCTGTGTACTTCACAAGAGAAGTATCTTTAGATCAATCTTGGACTGTGTGTTACTGCTGCGTATAGCCAGGCACCTACTCGCTTCCTTATGGGGTTGTCACCTCCCTCCAATTACACCTAATGAGATGCTCTGGGTGCTTTCAAAATTACATGCAATCAAAAACATTTATTCTGAGCTTAAAGAACGTGTAACTCAATACCACAGCCACTGTGAGTATGTGACAATACAAGTATTGTCCAAAGCCGGTTATATTTCCACAGCCTCCCCCAGCCAGAGCAAACAGCAGCCCCAGTCTGCTCCCATAGACCTTTGAGCACAGTATCTTGTTACCTGAAGACACCTGTATGCTAATAACACTACACTTGCCGTGAACTGCGAATTGAGCCAAGATATGCTGCGTCTCCCTTGCATCTTGGAAACCCTGTAAGCTCTTCACAGTCCCTGCCACTGGGAGAAAACGAGGAACTCATTTTAGGGCTGGTCTAGGAGAGGCCTCTTCTCAAAGGACTCTGGTTGCAGCATTTCCACTGGTATTCCATGGGAAGAAGACTGCTCACACAGTGCTGATTCTGTATTTCCAGTTGCTAATGACAAAAATGGTCATATTTATGTTCTTCCATGTAAGCAATTTTTGTAGCTGACATACAGACATTTCACAATCACAAAAGAGAAGATGGTCAATAGGAAGGGTGGAGGACCATATTTTTTTATGACAAAAGGAAGGAGAAGCTGTATTAAAACACAGTCTGCACTGCAAAGAAATCCAAGATCCATCATTTGGTTAATATTTCAGCAGACACGACCTAGAGCAATAATATTTTTATCTTCAGTACTTCACTTGAAGTAAACAAACAGACGCCACCAAAGGTCATACTGCTGCATGTCTATAACCCGCGGGGTGCAAGAGCCATGAGCTAAGACAAAACACAGCTCTGGGGTGGGAGAGTTGGTTTGCAAAAAAATATCCTTAAGAAAAACTCTTCCACTCGTTCTTCTGTTATCTACTCCTAGCTGGCTTCAGGCTAGGGTTTCATAGAGGCTGCAGTCCCTTGCTGTTGTTGATGGACATAATCCAGCCCTACAGAGGTTGCAGGGGGTATGGAGCACCATATATCACCCTGTGAAATGCCACAAACCTGTTTTCCACCATGCACCCGGGTCACCCTTAGGGTACTAGCGCAATGTGGACAGAAGCACACACCATGGTGATGAGACGGGTGGAAGGAGGAAGAATGCCATGGAAAGTTAGCAGAGAGAGCAAGAATGGACTGAACAGCCGAGAAGGCAGCCGGCAGGGCAGAGCACCAAAGCAACACGGGCACGCACCGCAGGATTATCCCACCCGACAGCTGCTCCTCGCCACCCACCACCAACACACGCCACCTCGGGAAAAAAACACCTTAGACTCCGGAAAAATGGGCGAGCGGCGGGGAGAGCCGGGCTGGCCACCTGGGAGGAGGTGAGGAGGGAGGTGGCGGAGCTCGGGGGCACGGCCGGAGACCCTCCCCGGGGGACAAGGTGCGCGCAGGTGGCACCCCGCCGGGGGAAAGCGCCCGTGAGCATCTCCACGGGGACCCCCGCAGGTGTACGCGGGGAAGGGCTGCGGCCGAGGCTCCGTCCCCTGCTCCCAAAGCGTTGTCCTGAGCTCGCCCGGGGGACTCGGGGGCAGTTTCCCACTGAGGAGGACGGGCGGCAGCAGCAGCCCCAGCGGCACCTGGAGGAGGCTGGGGCAAGCGCCCCGCACCTCGCTCGCCATGTTACGAGCCCAGAATAAAGAGGGTTGGGGCAGAAGAAAAGAGAGGGGGCAGAATAAAGGTGGGGGGCGCCGACGCCGGGGCCAAGGCAATCCCCTCCCCGCCAGACCCTTACCTTCCGCGGGCGCCTTCCTCCCGCTCGAGGCGACGCGGCGGCCGGTGGGGGGATCCGGGAGGGATTCGGGGGAGATACAGGAGGGATCCGGGGGGGATCCGGGGTGCTCCCCGCCGCCGCCGGCCAGGGGCAGGGGCGGCAGGCGCGGACAAAGTGCCCGAGCGGCGCGGGGAGGGCGCCGGGCAGCGGGAGCAGCCGCGCAGCGGAGCGGAGCGGAGCGATGCCGAGCTCCCTCTGCCGGCCCGCCGCCCCGCCCCGGCCCCGGCCACGGCCCCAGCCCCGGTCCCGGCCCCGGTCCCGGCCCCGGTCCCAGCCCCCGGCCGGGGCGGGCCCGCGGAGCCCGGCGGTGGCGGTGCGCGGCCGCCCGCCGAGCCCCTGCTGCTCCGTCGCCCTGTCGAGGTTTGCTGGTCAGTTGCAAAACGCCGGTGTACTTTACTTAGAGCACCTCCCCGGAGCCGGGATGAGATGGGTGAGTTGCTTAAAACGATCTAAAGCATTTACCGAAAAAAAAAAAAAAAAAAAAAAAAAAGCCACGCACAAAACCTACCCAGACTCCAAAGCAAAATCCCCGAAGATGTAGGTGTCTCTAAACCGACTGTAGAACGAGTGGGCTACACGAACAAAAGTCTCCTGTCCTCAATGGAAATCCCGGATGAAATCTCCCAGCTGTTTATGTTGTTTCCATCTGGCACCGCATCGCTCCCAGCCCTGACAATTTGCATGTGTCTTTCGCTCTGCATGGGGGAATAGTCCCGTGCACAGGTACTCCTGGTGTGCTGACAGGTAGCCAAAGCCCTGACACTACGTTGGTGCCACGTTCATGACTTTTATAATGAGCCATTTGCACCACTATGATCAGGCTAGTCCTTAAGAATGTCAATTTTCACTGATTTCACTTCCAAGTAACTTTCTGTCTTTTGTGACTCCATAGAGAAGCTAGAAAACTAATTTTTCGGCTGCATCAAACACACAAACAAAAGAATGACCCCCCCTTCAGGTAGCATATAAAATAGCTAACCTAGTTTTTTGAGGTTCAGTTCCTGGTTTTTGATACCGTGAAACTGGCTTGCAAGGCTTAAAAACCTGTTTAGTTATGTTCCCAGGTCTGCTTCCAGGTTTCTCCAAGATCCCTCACAAAGAGCAAAATTAAGAAGTCCAGTCTCTGAAGGTCTGAACCATCCATACAGCCATTTGCAGGATTGAGGCACGGTTATTGAAACATAGCAACAGGTCCTTTATGCTGCAATGTTTCTCTGATTGCCAGCCCTCCTCAAAAAAAAACACACGGAAGAAGTATAAACTAGTGAAAGAGCATCTGCTTTCTACAATTTCCACTTAGTTCCAAGAAATGAGACTTGGCAGGTCCTTGGATTTTATAACACTCCATGACTCATTTGCAGAGGCAGGTGAAGTCAGAGCCATCACTGCCAGAGTCATGCCCCTGACAGCTTCTCCAGCAAAGACAACGTTTTTCCCAAACACTTTCTCAAAAAGGCGAAAGGAAAATATTTCTCGGCTACTGTTTGCAGTGGTTTGGTTGCTGATACTCTTCTAAAGCAATGCTAGCTCATGCTTGACCTGGGGCTGTTTGGCAAATCTTCCTGAGAATAAGACCTGAGTGCTGCATACTGTGTTATTTCACCAGGCTCCTGGGCAGGTTCAGAGACAAAGGCAGTGGGCAGCACGCAAGCATGAGGCTTACTGCAGGCTCCAATGAACCAGGTAAGAGACAGTAACCAGAGCCTGCGGATCAGGCAGGAGAGGTGGGGCCTCAGCCCGCAGTTGTTTGGGAGTTCACCTCAACCCAGCTTCAAAAAACCTAGGAGAAAAAGCAAAGCAGTTCAGCCAGCTTCTCCTTCCTAGCTCTGAACTCCAAAAGCCCCTCGTAGCACTGGGTCTTCTCCTGATGGCTCTGTCCCTGCTACTTTTTCTGGTCCAGAGGGCTCTCCAGGAAGCAGGAAAGAGAAAAAAGAACTTCAGTGAAGTTATGGGGGTGGGGAGGGAGGATTGAAGCAGCTTTCGTGCACCTAAACAGGGAATGAGTGCATAGATACCCTCCACTTATCTTGATAACAGGAAGTCTGTTTCCAACAGACCTTCAAACCTTCAGAAATCAGGTTATGGAGAGGTCACCTCGGTCATTCGTGTGAATGAGCACTCACAGGAGCACTGACATCTGAACTGGCATTTCCAAACTATTGATACCAATCACCGCACACAGCCTCCCTAGGTAAGTAATAGCAATTTACACAGAAAAGTGCTCACCCCATTGACAAAGGACAGAAAAAAAAAATGCAGGAGATCACTGTGGGTTGCTTATTTTTATTTGGGAAGAAAATATTTAAGGGGAACAGAAAAAAAATCAACAGGAAACTGGGAAGGAAGTGGGGCTTGAGGGTGAGAAAAGGGAAAACAGAAGAATAAATGGGAAACAGAAAGATTTGTGGAAGGATGAATTCAGCTTCGGTACCTACCTAGAACACACAGTTTACATGTTCACCAGGGTGTGTGCAAGAGGCGTGGGCATTTATTAAAAAGTTTTGATATAATTATGAAGCTTGTAACACTGAAGGTAGGAAACCAGAGCATGGTAACGCAGGGGCTGAAGAAGACATTTCACAAGTGTTTTTCTGGTTGGGGAAAAGACAAAATATGCCAAGAAATTTCCTACTGTTATAGAGCAGCCTAAAGATACTTTCCAGCTGGGGACCTGCAGAACGGCTTACCCAGAGCGAGTGGCTTCCACGGGGGGCTGGGAGCCTCCTTCCCACCCGAAATTCAGCCCCACAGTCATTCGCCCCACCACAGCTGGTGGCCATCTCCTTCGTGTGTGTCTATACAGCTGAAGGCATGTGGACAATAAACCTGTGCATGCAGGGGAAGGGCCATTATTCAGGCTGTACAGAAAATAGATGGGCAGGTATTCAAATGCTACATGCCAGCTGCAGCAAGCCTGAGGATTTTAGATTAACCTCTGGATATCAGGATTTCCACTGTTGTTGAAAACGGACCCTGCTGTAACCATAGAGTTTTCAGGAGAGAAATACACAAAGCAAGCCTGATTCTTCTCTTGATTTTAAGGCACAAGCCTATGGTGAGAAACGAGCAAATTGTTCCTGGTTTAGGATCATACAAATGTGATCTTAATGCAGAATAATCCACAGCAAGAGGGAGAAACAAAAGAGACTGGCTAGCAGTCTGTGTTCCTCCATTCTTTGTGCTGCTGAAAAAACATGGAAAAGAAAAAAGAAATCCCAAATGGGAAGACTATTTATTTACTGCTTAGGTACTTAGGTAAAACTATAGAAGACTGTTTGCATTAAGGCTGGCCACGATACCATCTAGAACACAATGCAGGCTGGGACAGATAAGAATAAGCACAGAGATTTTTCTAGTCACCAAATTGTCTGCAATCTGATCGGGAGTTTCCTTGGGGTGTGTCTGTTTCTAAAATATTATGTTTAAATGTGTCATCCTTAGTGCCATAAAAATATTTTTAGAGCTGTAGTAAGTCTATAAATAGGAGTAGTAAATCTATCTGTAACATAACAGCCTCAAAACTGGTGAGGCTGATTTGGTCTAAACATGCTGGGAAGATTCTGTAAATTTCTAAATAAATTAGGAACAGAAGTTCTGCTATCCAAAAACTAGCTTTGGGCAAACATTCTGATTTATAGTGTTGTTTTATTTTATTTTATTTGTTGCCAGGAAAATGGAATATAAAATAAAATTATAAAAAGCCCTCCTCTCTCCCCATGGACATTAAGAACTTGTTAATTCATTCCTTTATTGTAAGGCTTGTGCTTCGTTGATTAATATTAAATTACAGAGTTACTTGTAGAGAAGGTTGGTTCAGCAAAATGAAGCAAAGCAGAGAACTCTCCAAGACCTAAACCTGCAAAGGAAGAAGGAGCCCAGCGTGTCTGTAACCCTCTCCTCACAGAAACAGAGCTGCAAACATATTTTTGAACCACAGGGAAAACCTCTGGACTGTTCCTGGCTGACTCAGAGCCTTTTTCCCAGGTACAGAGCCAAAGCAGTGCAAAGGATTCCCAAAAGTCTCATTTCCGCACCAGAAATGATTCTTCTGAAGAGCTCGAGGATAGAGGAGAGAATATATCAGAAGAGAACAAGGTGTCTGTCAGACTGGAGTCACAGCGCTGGGCTCCGTGGAGACTCCAAGCGGCTGTGATGGATATGAGTGTCTCAAAGAGTTGTCATGAATCACTCAGTCCATGTTATACGACGGACTACTCTGAACTGCAGACAGGTCAGACATCTTGAAAAAAGGAAAGGCACAATCATTTGCTTGTGGTCCTTGTGGCACCTGCATCCCCAAGTCAGAGGCTGTGCCATTGTGCCTCCTGGGTGTTCTGTTTTCTGTTACTCTTAATTTGGAGCTTGCTTCTCTAAATATACTCTTTCCTGATTTGCTTTTTTGTCTAGCTGCCAAGGGTCATCAGATTTTTACTCCTTGCTCCTAATTATCGTTACATCCGTGGAGGAGATTATTTGAGTAAACTGACTGGGATTAACAAACCAGCTGTTTATCATCACATCTGAACCCCCAAACTCCTCAGCCTGAAGCTGCCGTAACCTATGACTTACAAACTTGCCATCCAGCCATTCCAGTTACTAATGCATCAATTACAACCCATGTAAATTTATGGCTGGGATTAAAGCTGAATGTGTGATGATAAAAAGCCTTCCAGAAAGACAAGGGTCCTGGGATATTATGAATTATCTGGCAGTCATTACTACACAGTCCTTTGTGGATCATAATCAACTAGTGAAGTAACGTAGAGGACTTTTCTCCCACTGAAGGCATGGGGAGCTTTTGCTTCAGAAGGAGTAGAGTCAGGTCCAAGTCCTTAATTTGTGCATTTCTCAGTCACTGGCTGCTAGCTGGCACTTGGGTTTGGAAGTCAAGGATTCTGTCCTGAGAGAAACGTGAAGCACAAGAAAAGACATCCAAGAGTCGCTGACATCATGTGGGTAAAGTTCAGCATATTTGGAAATGATTGCTAGATTTTGTTTTGTCCTCTCTCAAGAGCTACACTGTGTTTGATGCATGAGACTCTAATTGAATTTAAGCAAATAAACTTCAGGTTACAACATGAACTCAAGCCTTGTTATGCATTCTGATGCCTCCGTTTGCCTATCTTAGTGAGACAAAAATGAAATATGATGCAGACAATCAATCTTTTTATATCTATGCTGTGCTCTTTATAGGGAAGCATGACAGATGTTTTTTATTACAATCGTATGTTTACTGAGAGAGAGGTAGAGCATTAAACTTCAGATATAACATTTTCCTCACATCTCATATTCATGAGAAAAGAAAGGGGACAGGGAGAAAGGAGAATATATAATTGAAAATGTTTATTTGATCTGTTTCACCAGAATTTCTTTTTTGCCTGAAACTTCTATAAGTTTCTGGGCTTTGTTTTTCCTTCTGAGGTTTTGGACATACATTTATCTGGTGGATGAGAGGGAACAATGTTAACTACACTGCTCATCCCAGGCCTCCAGAGTTCTTGAATCACACACCTAAAATTAAAACACTTCTTTAAGAATCATGAGGTGATGACAAAAAAGGTGCTGACATTTTTATTTGGGTTTGGGGCCCACAGGTTTCATATTCCCTAGCAGAAATGTCAGAGGAAGAGATTTTTTTATAACAAATAGCATTTTTGGTACATTCACAGGGCTATAGACAATTAAACTTTTAAGAAATATATAAAGTATCATTACCACAATACTAAAATCAATAGATTGGCCAGAATTACTTTGAAACTATATTGTTATTCTTCATTAAATTTTCCCATTCTTGCACTGAATTTTACCTTTTCAAATAGTAGTCACAGTTCCTGCTTTTAAGGGCAGAAAGGCCTGGTTCAGCTGTCTCACCCTCTTACAGAATGTGTAGGGTATCTGAAGTTCTCTATTTGCATATGCATGAAAAAAAAATATAAATCTCCATCATTTCAGCAAACACTTGATTAGTTCTGATCAAATAATTGTTTCACTAGCTGAGGGAAGTAATTAATAATACCGTGACAATTTTTGCTTATGTAGTTCTTGCCACAGACCTCAAAATCGTCTATCTGCTAGCATTAATGAATTTGGAGTCACAAGCTTCATTGTACAGAATGAGCCCGCAAGGCTTAGCTAATACTGCAAATCTTCACAGTTACATCCTGAAACCTGGATATGTTTTTACTAAAACCTAAAAGCACAGAATTTAAAAGACAGTATCAACTTATCCTGGGATCCCAGAAATGAAAATAATAAAAAAAAATAAATGCATATGAAATAACCCTGCGTATGTATGTGTACATGTATAGTTTTGAATACATGCACCTCATGAGTTTTGGGTGTTTGACCTGCTATTTCTGCTCACACTGCACTGGCAAAGCTGGAGAGGTTAGGTAGCAATGGCAAACTGCATCCAGTGTACATGGATGTAGGGTTATGGCGGGACCCACAGACCCAATCTGCCAGCGTGGTGCTCCATCCATTGAAGTTCCTTAAACAAAAGTGAGACAAGGTCTCTGAATTCAGTTTCACAGGTACAGTCCTAGGATTTAAGAATGGAGAAGGCTATGATGTGATGGAAAGGCTGCCTGTACAAAGGCAACCAGACTCAACAAGCTTTTTCTTTCTGGAGGAAGGTGCCCATGAGATGGTTTCGTTTCTACACAGTTTTCAGATAAACACATGTAATGTTCAGTTTCACAATTGCTTAAGTCTGTAAGAGATGTGGCAAATCTGCAGCTGAGTTTAAGCAGGGTTTAAGGTACCCCAAACCCTGTGATAATACCAGCATTTGAAGCACACATCCTACAGAATCAAAGCATACCTTTCGTGAGCTTATAACAAGTCAAGTCAGGGAAAACTAATAATTAAAAAGGAGTCTAAATCTTGTCTTTATTATGAAAATTAGTCAGCCATTAGTGAATTTCATACTGAGGTGGTCACAACTGTTTGCTCAGGTATGCTGGGAAAGGGAGGAAGCTGTCTACCTTAGGAGGCTTTGTGCAACCCCCCTGGAGCATAAGGAGAAATATGCTTGCAGGGCCTTTCTGCAGTCTGACACTGAGCAAGCAGTTTGACAGCTGCTGTTGGATACAGAATAAAAATCTGCCTAGAAAAAGCAATCAACCTGCAAAGCTCACGAGATGGACTGCAGTGGACTGCAGTGGCATCTTAACGGTTTACTAGCACACTACACGATACTATGAGACAAAGTGACAACATAAACACAATCAAACAGAAACATGCTTTAGAAAGGTAGGGTTCAATTACTTGTGTTAAATCACCCAAGCTCTATGCACACTACAGAAATCACTGCAAGGCAACAGATGAAACTTCAAGAGAAGAGAATATAAATAACATGTCAGTCAACACACATTTTTAATCAATTTTTGAATCCATATTATGGAAGCCAACAATAATTTTCTATTTTAGTTGCCTCACTCTTATCCTAAGGCCCACTACTGATTTCACTGGCATTTTTGTTTAGGATCTTGCCTCAAAGACCTTTGAACCCCTTGTGAGATGTTTCTTCTTATCAGACACCTTTAAGTAAATTGGAGGAGTTGAAGACAGTGACTCCACAGTCACTAAAATATCCCAAACATTATAGGACATAGTGTGCATATTTCTTATAAGTGGGAAGCATCACATACAATTTACACTAATATCACTGTATGCTGTTCTCCTCCATGTCAAGAATTTTTAGGATTTAATTAATGCTAATTGCTTTTTGTTATTATTAATATTATTTATTTATTTATTTTTCACCACTATCTTCTTAAAATCTCTTAGGGTTCCTTACCTTGGAAGTTGACTGCAGATGTATGTATTCAGAAGCAAATATTTTCCCTTTTTACTAAACAAATAAGCAAAGGTATAGTATGTATCTTTTTACATCCTTCCAGAGATCTGAAGGACCTTCTGCACTCCAAAATTGTCCTGCCTAGTAAAGAGGGGATGAGAGATTTCAGAGGACATACATCACATGCATACTTTTCCAGGCAGAAACAATGCAAAGATGTGTTTATATCCCATGGGTTTAAGAAAGCTCATATTGTTTGGCACTGTCTCTCTCCTACAGATGCAGCAGTGGGGATTGGGTCCCACTGGCCGTTACACACATCTGAGGAAACATTGAGCAGAAATGGCTAGGGCATGGAAAAAGTACTCAGGAAGTCTCCTGGCTGGAGGTCACTGCCTCTGTCCAGAGATGGTCTCTGGAGGGGTCTTTGAGGGCACCATCCTTCTAACTGCAATCCTGCCAACAACATACTCATTTTTTTCAGCTGTAACTGCAGAAGTGGTGTCACAACAGAGAAGATAGCACTGCAAGATCCACCCGTGTCCCTTTGGGCATCAGGGTGCCTTTGTGCAGTGGATACTTTGCTTTGGCAGGGTGGCTGTTTGCCAAATCCCAGTTCTCTCTCCACCCCCAAGAAGTGCCTGTCCCTCCTGCCCAGCCCTGTGTTCTAGCTGTAGTCTCCTAGCCCAGAAACCCAGCACTATCACTGGGAGAGTCCTCTGGCTTTGCTCTAATGTGTCAAGGCCTCAGGTCAGGTTGGACTTCAGATGTGTTTTGGCCTGCCTGGAACTTTGTTTCAGTTTATGTAGTTATAAGAAAGATTTTCTAATGACCAAGTGGCTATTGCCTCATTTGCTTAACTTTTGCTTAGCTCTAGAGCTGAGGAAAATCATATGGTATAATCATATGGTAACTCTGCTTGGCCTGATCATCATGTCTATACAAACAATAGCAAGGACTTGATAGCCTGTGTATTATGACATATTTATAGCCCTGTTACAATGTATAACCCTGGTACAAGAGAACAGCAGAAACCTCAAAAACAGGAACACAGGATGTAGCCCAGAGACACACAGACACAGGATGATGCTGGAGATGAGAAGGGGATAAACCATTCGCTTGTGGTGAATGAACCAGGGTCAGACACTGCCCCTGGATGGCTGAATACCTCCCTGGGGACAAGAACAGGCTAAGGTCATACCAGGACATGGGAAGAGCTGTGGGAAGCTGGATCTGGCCCTGCTGCAGCATCCTTGGGTCAGGGGCTGAAAGCCCCTGGGTCTGATGTGGGGTCTTGGCCTATGGGCAAAGTGGGGAGCCCTGGAGAAGTGGGGCAGGTACAGCAAGGTCTGGTGACGTTCCCAGGGCTGTGGGGACTCTGATGTCTTGCTGCAAGTCTGCTATACGCTTTGTCCAAAAGGAAGACTGGTGTTATCATCCATTGGTCTCAGAGAGGCAGTGGAAAGGAGTGTAACTTGGGAAAATGAGAGGTAGGTTTGTGAGACTGTTATTTTGTATACAATTTTAAACTGCATTCTCAACAGGACTAATTTTATATTGATTAGATAACTTGGATCATGAATATTTTTGTATTGTAATGGTACAACTACTACTAACTCTGTATTGTATATTAGTGTTAAGAATTTTATTAGAATAAAAATTCTTGACTTGTTTTCCTCTTTATCAATAACAAGATCTTGCACGTAACATGAAGTTAAAGCCATCTCTGTCAGTCCTGCCCTCTTTTGCTATTTTTCCTTTCATTTTTTATCAAGACTTCCTAGCACTTTGCTCACCCCTTTATAAGTAAGTGCACCCATCAACATGCAGCTGCACAGTGGCATACGGGCCAGAAGCATTTTTATCCTTTCCAGTGGCAGTAAGGTGCTCGTCACTTGGCCCCTCTAGTGCTAGATATCCAAAAAATGAAGTTTGTCTCTTCAAAAATGAAAGATCTCATCCTCAATAAACCCATCAATGGCACGTCATGAGTGTGAAGCCTGCAGAGCTGACCCTGTCCCCATGATGAAGCTGGTGTCCCAGTCCTCTGCCAGGCAGCAGTGGAGGCTCTCCCTCTTGCCATGACCACATACATAAGGTGCAAGGGGGTGCCGAGGGGAAAGGGTATGGGGGGAATAGCCATAGTGCCAGGCTGCAGCTGGTGGACATGCCAGCAGAAGGGGTCCCATGTGGAAGCTTAGCATCGCAGTGCATCCCCTCCTCCTCACCCCACCCACATCCGAAGTGGGAGAAACCTGAGACGCCTTCCCTTGTGACCCTTCACAG